TCCAGACTTGGAAGGGGGGCCTTATGTGGTAAGTGTCCTACGGGGCCCAGTGACTCCCTGATCACCTGAGCCAGGTGTTCCAGGGATGTCCTTTATGTGGGTTGTGTGTGCCCTCCTGATAACAATTGAGCCTTAATTGTTGTTGACACATCAGTGGGTAGGATTGACCTTCAGGCTGTCTGGCTTTGAAAACTGGCCGTGACTATAGCAGAGGAGCTATTGTATGGGAGCTGTCTGCAGGGATCAGGATTCATTTTAGCAGGGCTCTAGTACTTGCTGATTTTGCCCTTTGGGTGCATTGTTTGTGGCGCTAATTGGGTGGTGCTCTGATGTGGTCTGAATGTGCCCCTCAAGTGTGTTGACTCTGGGGCACCTTGAGAGCAGTTATAATGCAGATCTAAGATAGGGTCTTCCTGTGCACAGCACAGGGCCACCTGGTAGGAGCTACAAATAGATCTGAGGTTTGTAGTTGCCTATGCTGTGAGCCAAGACTGGCTGCTACTAATGCCAGACTTGGGGGCACTTAGAAGTACTGAACATGCAAAGGCCAGACACTGCGTCTTTGGGATTTTTGGACCTTTGAGAGATTTAGCAAAATCCAGAGTGGCCTGAAGTCAGCAGGTTGTGAAGAACAGCTACTGGGAAAGTTTTGGGTTCATGGAAGGGTTGGTTGTAGAAGTCTCATGGAATTACCACACAGGGGAGGGCAATGTTAGCCAAATTGATGGAGACCGGTTATGGCACCCACCTGAGCCTGCTTGCTGTGTGTGTGTCTCAACAAAGGAACAGTGGCGGGTGCTAGCACTTCTGCCTGGAACAGAGCTGGCCCTTCATTCCTGGCCCTGAAGCCAAACAATTCCGTTCCTCCCCATAGGTCCTTGGCCCTTTTTGAACTGTTGCACCAGTACTGGAGCTTGGAGCAAGTGAGTTCATCAGGGAGTAAGTCCGTGCATGGGTCCTTTAAGAGGACACCTTTACGAGGTCTATAGCAGCCCCTGTCTCACCTGAACAGAATCCCTATTTTCACAGCCACATGTTGTGGAGACTCTTCCTAGCACTGGTGGTCCAGGCTGGGGAGCCTGGTGTGAGCATATGACCCCTCAATCCTCAGTGGGAACCCTGCAGCTGTGATATCCCTGTTGATTCTCAACCACCACACATAGGTGGGAACCAGTCTGTTTTGCTCTCTACTCCTCTTACCAGCCTCAATATGTCTTCTTCCAGCTAGCCTTCAGGTAGGTGGTTCTCAAAGGTAGTTGTTCTGTAATCTAGTGGTAATTATAGTATGGTCATGGGAGAGGCAAGCACAGCACTTACCTGCTCAGCCATCTTCATCCTCTACACATTGTTGCCAGAACATTTTCCCTTGCTTAAAATCTTTGACTTCATCAATTTCAGAATAAAATCCAAACTTCTTATTGTGGCAAATAGACCTTTTGTTATCTAGCTTCCCCCTTCTACTCAACGTTTAATATCTGTCATTCTCTTGCTCATCCATTCTATTCTTGAGTTTCCACAGAAGTGTCATTACAGGCAGTCTCCTTTTATTTGAAATGCATATCTCACCTTCTAGAGGGTTCCCATCCTTTCAAATTCTGGCTCAGACATCACTGCTTCTGGAAAGCATTATTTGATATCTCCAAGTTCCCTTGGTTAGATTCAATCTTTCTTTATCCTGCTCAAATCTCTACATTCTTACACTGCAACAAGTCACCTATTTGCCTGTTAACCATATTTACATACTGACATAATAATTTGCTTATTCAACTGCTAGCCCCTGAATTCCACCTCATTTTTCCTGATTCATGGCTTCTTGAAGGCCTGTGTCTTAAAACTCCTAGCTGTGCAGCATATAGTTCCTGCCACAAAGCTGGGATTTTTTTTAATTACTAAGTTGTTCATAAGTACTCCTTTTGTTTTCCTAAAATTGTTTGACACTAAAGAACACCAAATAACATACTATTTATATCATGAAAAGACTGATGTACCTTTCAACATTTTGGCACAGGTGTTAAGATTCATTACCCTTCTCTGACAACTCCTCTGTTGGAATTTATATATTCATACCAGAAGCCCAGTGCATAAATTCATGCACAGGTGGGGTCCCGCGGCATGGCCTGTGGGGATTGGGTTGAAACCAGCAGTCCAACACGGCCAGTTCAACACTGCCTGCCACTCCCGCTCATCGCAGCCCTGCTGCGCCTGCCATGGGCTTGTGCCCAGTCAGTCCTGATCAGGAGAGGCTCACGCCGCCACAGTGGCACTTGCCAGGCATGAGCCCTGCATCTGGTGCCCCTCCCAAGAGGGGTGTGGAGGGGGCCAGGATTAATCGGCCCTCTGGGCAGACTCCGGATCCATCCCACTGGCGTTTGCACCAATTGTCGAGAGCCACCTGGCGGCTGCTTTTATATCATTTCTTCCATGCAGAGCATCTAGGGAGGGGAAGCGGCTGCAGTGCCTGAGGCTGATTTCCAGGAGGCTGGTGGCAAGGGTCCATCAGTGCCTGGCCCATTCTCCGGCGATTGGACCTGCAGGACTACTGAGGGAGTGAGTGGCTGCCGCCAGACTGGAGGGCCACCGGGATGAGTCAGTCAGCTGAGTGGCACTTCTGCCATGGGAATGCATTGACCACCAGGGGGGCAGCTCCTGTGTTGAGCGTCTGCCCCCAGTGGTCAGTGCATGTCACAGCAACCAGTTGACAGGTCATTCAGTCACTTAGGCTTTTATATAGAGAGATATATCCATATATATAAATAGCTTTAAACTTTACTGATTTTTCCATTTAATACATCTAAGATGAAAGCTCACAGTGTATAGCAGGTATACATTCATAATAACTACAGAGAAAAAAATTCTGAGAACAGAATTACAAATTGGATACAAAATCCTCAACTCACAGCAATTACTAGAACAAAGAAAGGCAACAGACTTTATTTCTATTTTTAAATAACATACATGCACAAAGTTTGACATAAGGTCAGGAAAGGTCAAACCTCAGAAACTGAGAGGTAATTTTCACTTCATTTTTATATTTTATTTGGTCCTTTTTCCCTAAAAATGTACAATTTCTTTGATCACATCTTTAATATGCTATTAAAATGTTATTTTTTAAAGTATTACCAGTTTACAATTATTGGGGGGTTTTTTTTGAGAAATCCAGTACACACACCCCTCCCCTGGCCCAGATGTTACTGACAATAACGTATCTAGTGTACACTGCTGTAGAAATAAAACAATTCTTCTATTTGACAAATGACCAAAGTTAATGTCTCTTGCTGTGAATTCATTTCAGGTTATTTTAAAAAGTGTCTACAGACATGAACACTTTCCTCATTATCACAGTCAAGACATATCCTTGGAATTTAACATCTGATGACTAAATTATAGAAATGTTTTTAAGTATCCATTACATTTATTCCATCACTCTCATGTATTCTGATAAGCTTTGGTTTATGGCTTCCATACATACAAATCTACTTTCTAGGGGTTCTCTTCAATATGAATTTTATAATGATTAGTAAGAGATGACCTGTGGTTGAAAAGTTTCCCACATGTATTACATTCATAAGGTTTCTCTCCGGTATGAATTCTCTGATGGGCGATACGTGATGAGCTTTGTCTAAAAGTCTTCCCACATGTATTACATTTAAAGGGTTTCTCTCCTGTATGAATCCTCCGATGTTGAATAAGAGCTGAACTTTGGCCAAAAGATATCCCACATTCCTCACATCGATAAGGTTTTTCTCCAGTATGAATCCTCTGATGATTACTAAGGGATGAATTACACCTGAATGTTTTTCCGCACTCATTACATTTATAGGGTCTTTCTCCAGTATGCATTCTCTGATGTTGAATGAGAGCTGAGCTTTGTCTGAAGGCTTTCCCACACACTTTACATTTACATGGTTTCTCTCCAGTATGAATTCTTTCATGAATAATAAGTGTTGAGTGGGAACTTAAGGCTTTACCACATTCACTACAATTATAAAACTTCTCACCAGTATGAATTATTCGGTGTCTGTTAAGTCGTGAAATAGAAGTGAAGCCTTTTCCACATTCATTACATCTATAGGGCTTTTCTCCAGTGTGAATTCTCTCATGTTGAATAAGAGATGCACTCTGACTAAAGGCTCTCCCACATTCACTACATTTAAAAGGTTTCTCTCCTGTGTGAATTCTCTGATGATAACGAAGGGATGAGCTAGACTTAAATGTGTTACCACATTCATTACATAAATAGGACTTCTTTCTGGAATGAATTCTCTGACACCCAGGAAGGGATGTGTTGCAACTAGATGATTTCCTACCTGGATTATATTTATAGGGGTTTTCTCTAGCATGGATTTTTTGATGTATGAAAAGGCCTGACCGTCGACTGAAAGACTTACCACATTCTTTACACCTATAGGATTTCTCCACAGTATGTGTTCTTAGATGTTTATAGAGGGATGTGCTAAGAGTAAAGGCTTTCCCACATTCTTTACATACATAGGGTTTCTCTCCAGTATGGGTTATTTGATGTTGAATAAGAGCTGAACTTTGGTTAAAGGCTTTTGAACATTCTTTACATTTAAATAATTTCTCTCCACTATGGTTTTTCTCATGTTTACGAAGGGATGAAGTGTTAATAAAGGTTTTCTCACATATACTACATTTATAGCGTTTATCTGCTGTGTTGATTTTTGGTTGATTAATCAAATTTAAATTCTGTTTGAAGCTGTTTCCTTGTATTTCACATTTTGGTAGTGTTTCTTCTCTAGGAACCATCTGTTTTCTAATAAGGACTGACTTTGGGCTAAGGTTTTGGCCAAATTCAGTATTTTTATGTCTTCTTTCTACAGTAAGAATATTTTTGTGGGTAACTGAAAGTATCTGAACACCTTCCTTTTTCTTCTGTTTTTTCTCTAATCTGTCTTCATATGCGCAGGTTTTTTCTGATTTGAAGACCCAGGGTCCATTCCTCTTGGGTCTTTTCATTATCAACTCCTGAAATAAAGAATCTTGCGTTTGAGTTGACTTTGTGGTTTTATGATTACTCTTGCATCCTGGAGGGGGGAAAAAACAAACTGAAGATGTTTCATATGATACAGCTTTTGGCTACAGAGACAAAATGTATAGAATAAATAAACACTGATTATCTTTAAATAAGGTCTTGGTATCTGCCCAAAAAATAGATTTAAGCAGTATGGGGGAAATAATCAATGAGAGCTTAAAGTATTAGGGTAGAAAAAAAATAATTTTAAAAAACACATTTAAAAGATGGTGAGTATAGAGTGACTAAGAGAACTGGTGAATGAAGAATGGAGAAAAGAAGAGTATGAATTAGGAAAGGCAATCTGGGATCAGAGTCCAAAGCCCATGATAGATTCCTAAATTATCTTCATGACATTTCTCTTCTTTATGTAATCACTCCTAACCTGGAAAGTCTTCCTCCATTTCCCTAATGTCAAATTCTTTTGTATCCTTCAGATTCAATTAAAAAATAAACTCTGAGTCTTTTATTGACTCAATTTCCATAGTCCATTCCCTTCAATATAGACCATACCACAGTGTTTTAAAAATGTTATATATATAGATGTTACTTTCCTTTTTCCCCATAAGTGTTCTTTACAATCAGATTAGCATACCCTATTAACCTCTAAGTCTTCCTGATGGCATCTGAATTATATACAATTTTTTTCTTGATCTTTCTTAATTACGTATATACTCCAAATTTGAAAAATGTCAAATATTCTCAATTATTTATACATCAATTTCACACACAAAACATGATTCAAATACTTGTAGAGGTTGTCTTACAGATCAGTACATTACATGGGTGATGGGAGGGTTTCAGGCCAGTTCACATAGGAAGGCATTATTAAATTAAGTTACAGAGGAGTCACAAGTAGACCTGAAGCCAAAGTCAAAAGTTAGGAAGGCAGCCTTGCTCATGCATCAAGCATGAGAGACTGCAAGCAAAGTAGAAAAGTCAAAGATCAAGAATAAGATAGACATAAATATAAAAAGGGGAGAAAGGCATAAATATAAAAAGGGGTGTTCGCAGCCGCCATCCCTCTCTAATGCCTGCACTGTCTCCAGCTCATGGAGCTCCAGCCAAAGGAGAAAGGGGGGCAAGTAAAGAGGTCTCTATACCATGACTCATACAAAGCAGACTGCCCACAAATCAACCAGTGGTAAAGCACCAAGGAAGCAACTGGCTACCAAAGCCGCTCCAAAGAGTGGGCCCTCTACTGGAGGGGTGAAGAAACCTCATCGTTACAGGCCTGGTACTGTGGCACTTCGTGAAATTAGCTGTTATCAGAAGTCCACTGAACTGATTCGCAAACTTCCCTTCCAGCGTCTGGTGCGAGATATTGCTCAGGACTTCAAAACAGATCTGCGTTTCCAGAGCACAGCAACTGGTGCTTTGCAGGAGGCTAGTGAGGCCTGTCTGGTTGGCCTTTTTGAAGACACCAACCTGTGTGCTCTCCATGCCAACGTGTAACAATTATGCCAGTAGACATCCAGCCAGCACGCCAAATACCTGGAGAACATGCTTAAGAATCCACTATGATGGGAAACATTTTTCATTCTATAAAAAAAATTCTCCTCTTCCTGTTATTGGTAGTTCTGAAAGTTAGATTTTTTTTTTTCCGATGGGATCAAAGGTACCTAAGTATATGATTGCAAGTTGAAAATAGGGGACAGAAATCGGGTATTGGCAATTTTTCCATTTTTATTTGTGTGTGAATTTTTTTAATCTAAATGCAGGGACATACAGCATTAATGCAAGTCAAATGTTTCAGTGAACAAGTTTCAGCAGTTCAACTTTATAACAATATAAATAAAACTATTAAATTTTTCTGGACAATGCCAGCATTTGGATTTTTTTAAAACAAGTAAATTTCTTATTGATGGCAACTAAATGGTGTTTGTAGCATTTTTATCATACAGTAGATACCATCAGTTCACTATACTTTTCTAACTTAGTTGTCCTACATGCAAATACATGTTTTTAATGTTGTCTGTATTCTGTGCTGTTCCTATAAGTTTGCTATTAAAATACATTAAGCTAAATATATATATTATATACATATATATGTGTATATATACACATATACATGTACATATATATATACATGCATAAGGTTAAAAAAAGGACAATATGATAAAGTGGTAAAGAAAAAAATTGATTTCAATAAATATTATAATTGGGTAAGAACACAATTCACTGAATATTAAATTTTGGCAGGGGAATGGTTGTGCACATAGTTTGGCATTTTCTTCTGGGCTAGAGGTAACCATTTAAAGGGCTCCTTTGCATCTCACTTGAGATTCCTATCTCACATTCACTTTCATATGAATGAGTGTATACTCCCTCTGCTTGGTGAACACAATGTATTCCACTTTCCTCCTTTCTTCTACCAGTATTCCCCTCTCAGATTCCTTCATGGATAACACTTTCTGTCCCTCCTTTGAAAACTGGTATTCCTTAGCCTTTGGGATTTTTTTTTCCACTCTACACAGCCTCCTTGACTAATTTTATATGCACCCATATCTTTACTATTTATTGTAAGGGAACCAGGAGTTTTTTACTTCCTGCCAAACACCTTCCTAGCTCCTTCTCTCCATCTAAGTCTTGATAAATTAAATGATCAAATCTCAATACATTATTTGGGCAAAAGTATGAAAGGCAAACACAAAAAATGGGTCCTTTCTCCAGTGACTATATGTCATTGGTTCTAGGTTTAGTATATGTGCTGAGAAGAAGATAGTAAGATTCTGCAATTTAGATTCTAGCTTGTAATAAAGTTAGAGATCCTGCCTTAGGCCTGTACATAAAGACTGCAGTTTTGTGACCAACACCTTTACTAGAACCCTGAGCATTGGGCACAGGTACCTAAATGGTATTTTGTTTCTCATGCTTTACTGTAGTCTCCCATAGTCTCCTAACTAGTCTCCCTGCTTCAAGTCTTGCTCTCTTCCAATTCAGTTTTCACACTGTAGGCAGAGTAATCTCTAAAATCTTATCTTACCATGTTACAAACTTCCTTAGATCCTCCAATTTATCTTTAATAATCTATAACAATAAAAGCATAATATGCTAATTAGACCAGATGGCCGAACAGCAGAACGACCGTCTAGATGACCTTCTGGACGAAGCTGGGGCTGCCAGGGACAAGGCCCTTGCATGAATTTCGTGCATCCGCCCTCTAGTTTATATATAAAGTCCTGAGTACTTTATATATATACCATGGTCATCAAGGTATTTCACGTTCTGACCTTTTTCCACCTGTCCTCATCTCCCTCCCCTGGCTTCTCATCAGGTATGTTGAACTATATGTAGTTTCTGGAGCATGCCATGTTTTTTCGTATTTCTTTATCTTTGCATGTGCTGCAAACATCCTTTCCATGAACAAATAGTTATTAACTGCCTACTATGGGCCAGGTAATGTTTTAGGGGATGTGATGACTAAGAGTTATGGAGCTTATACTTCGGTATGTGTGTGTGAGAGTGCTGGGGGAAGGGGTGGAATGAAATGACAAATAATAATAAATAAAAGCCATATGGATATGTGAAGAAAGGGCTTCCCAGGCAAAGAAAACAACAGCAAACAAAAGTGTGGTGACTTCAGAGGAACAGCCAAGAGGCTGTGTGCCTAGAATGCAGTGAGCAAGAGGGAAAAAGGTAAATAAGACAAGCGCAACAGATAGGGCAAGTCATATTAAGGCCTCATATGTTACAGTAAGGTCTTTGGAATTTTATTCTCAGCATGATAGAAAGCCACAGGGAAACTGCATGCCCACTCAAGTCGGCTACTATGCAGAGAACAGACTCGTGGGGCACAAGTAGAAGCAGAAAAGAGATAAATCACTTAAAAGGCTACTGCAGTTATGTAGGTGAGAAAGGGGTGGACAACAGATGACTGCATCAGGATCAACTATAAAGAAAGTGCTAACAGGACTGGGCTTGCTGATATGCTGTAGGATGGGTGCTGAGAGGGAGCAAACAATCAAAATCACTCCTCCCCCGCGAGAAAGAGAGCCAGCCGAAGGCCTCCTCCCTACTCCCCAGAGTGAGGACGCTCCCTACACACTGCCATGGAGAGTTTCCATATCAAGTGAAAGGGCAGAATACTGTGTGTTGTACACTATCACTGGAGTGGACAAAGGAAAGAGTACTACAGGACTATTTGTTTATATATGCATAGAAGAGCTCTTCCAGCTGCTGCTGCTGCTTCAAGTCTGACTACAGTTCCTACACTTCACTTCCTCCGGCTCACTCACCACTCGCTGGCTCCATTCTGGCTTCTGTCCTCACCACTACCCTGGCTAAGGCAACTATGATCTCCACGTGGCTAAGACAAGATGCTCTTTCAGCAGCATCTGAGAGTGACCACTCCTTCTCCTGGAGACATTCTCTTCCTAAGCTAGTGGAGCCAAGCTTTCCTCCACGTCCTTCTCATTGCTCACCAGCCTCAATTTCCTTGGTGGGCTTCTCAGTCTCCTTTGTGACTTACTTTACTTCCTCTTTGATCCTTAGAGTTCCTTCGGGTTTAGTACTAGGCCCCCAAATCTTCTCACTCTGCACTCTTTCCACGGGCCAGCTCTAATTATAAACATGCACCTCATGCATGATTTCTCTACTTTCTACACCCAGTTACACAACAACCTACTCCAAATAGCAACTTAAATGTCTCAAAGACACCTCAAATTCAACATGCCTAAAACCCAATTCATGATTATTCCCTCCAATCTTTATAATCCTTTGGCTCTGTAAATGACACCAGTTCTGAATTAAACCTTTAAGAGGCATCATTAATATCTCTCCCTCAGATCCCTCAGCTAATCGATTATCAAGAATTGTTTATTCTATCATCTAAATATGCCCCAAAAACATCTTATTTCTCTCAAGTTCTACTGATAACAATCCTACTACGAGCCTTGACTTCAATGACAACTGACTTTCCTGAGTTTCCTCTTATCACACTCCTCCATTTGCCTTCCCTATGGCTTCATTTTTCTCTACCTTACCATGAAATGCTAGAGTTCCTCAAATTTGACTCAGAGGCTCTTTCTTGCTCTTACTATAATGTGAACTCCACCAATTAAGTCAAATTCAGCCACTGTTTCAATTAGCCTACCTTGACCAGGATCTCCCAAATTTACATTGCACACCAAGTCTATATTCAGAGGGGTGGTACTCCAAATCTAAGAGGCTATTTGTCATCTCCACTTGGATAACAAGGTCAACCAAAGACAACCAAGCAGCCCCTCCTCTTCCCTCCTGAACCCCACTGCACAAGCCCTCATCCAGGCCCTCGTTACGTCTTGCCTACAATATACAATGGTCTCCAGAAACCTCCCATACCCAGTTTTGCCTCACTTTAAACCTATTTGCTGCAATGCTTCCAACGTGACTGTTTTTAATTTCAAATTACTAAGGAATTCGTGGATTATTCTCCATGTGAAAAAAATCAAAAGATTACATATAAATAAAGTCCCCTTTCATCCCACCCATTCTGGACCCCATTCCAAGCATACTGTTACCAGCTAAGCTGTGCAACTAACTTCTCTGTATATTATACCTTAGACAAACACCCCCATAATTTTCTTTAAACATAAATGGTGACACATGCTAACAATGCCCCTGAACTGCTTTAGTCCTTACTGTGCCTTGGAGGGCGTCTGTCCATGTCAGGTGCTCTTTCTGGCCGTACGCCAGAGCAATGTTTCTAAAATGTCAATGGCCACAGAATTCTTCTGCCTAAAACCCTCTGCACTCACCCATCGAGCAGTTCACATCTCTAAGAACTGTACCAAAGCACTTTATAATGGGGCCCAAATTTCCCAAAATCGTTTTTCATCTCCTTCTTTCCCCACACACAGACCCTGAGCCTCAGTCAGAATGAACTGCCTGCAAGTCCTTACATACACGTTGGCTGAATGGGCACGAGGGCGCGGCCCTCCTCTGAAACCACAGGAAAGGACAAGAAAAGAGGTCCTGACAGATCCATTACAAAGTGAACAGCAGGGAAAGGAGAAAGGAGGAAGCTTGTGTCTGGTCCTCAGCGTCCCTTCTCCGCCACTCCCGAGGACCAAGGGCCTGGAGAGCCGTTCCCAACCATCATCTGCAAGCCCACCCTCCACTTACGAACCAGACCCTCGCCTGGTGACCCGCGGGCACCTCAGCCCCACTCACCGAGAGGGGCGCCCCAAGGACTCTCTTCCTCCACCTTCCACGGCTCTTCTCCTTGCTGCAACAGGGAGATCACTTTTGGTTTGGAAAACAGGAGCCCTGTTCATAGACCAAAAAAGAAAGAAAGACTTGGATTTGTTTTGACACAGAGAGGTAGCTCAGATCCGAGTGGAAACTCAGGGGATGGTACAAAAGCTTCTGATGGTACAAAAGCTCTCTGATGTGAGAGGTGTGCTAGGAAAAAGGGACTTGTAGCACATGACTACATAATAATTAGCTGTACGTTAGGGAAAGAGCATAAACATCAGCCTTGATTAATAGGGTGTTATTGGCTTCCTATAGAGATGAAATATGTTAAATGTATAGACTGAATTAAATTTGTACACAGATACGTATGGAAAGGATTATGTACCAAGTAGCTTGTTTAAAATGAGAAACACAATCTGACTCCCTTTAACGATGGCAGTGGTCAGCAAAGTATGCAAAATCGAGCCCACTGTCTAAGGATGCCCTTGGCTGACAAAATAAAAGCAGGTTACAGAGACCACATGTGGCCCCCAAAGCCTAAAATATTTACTACCTGGCCCTTTACAGAAAGTTTGCTGACCCCTGGAAAAGACAAGTAGGAAAGGCAAGTGATAGGTCCAGAGACTGGACAAAGCCCTCTGCTGAGAGACGTGAACACCAACCACAGAACAATCAGTGCAAGGAAACACTGCCTTAACCATGGAGAAAGTTCTAGTGTGTAATTACACAGAGGGACGGGGATGGTATCAATATCCCCCTCCCCCATCCCATGGCCAACTCCATGCCCATAGGGGGTGTGTTTAAGATTTAGAGATGTCCCATAAGGACAATCTCACTGCAAGCGCAGCAGAAGCTTCTTAGACACCCACCGCACTTATCCAGGGAAGCAGGCGCTAGGTCAGCTGTTTCTGAACTGGAAGAGAATGAGGAAAGGCAAGTGGTCGGCCATGAAGAGGGTCGAGGGACGCTCCCTGCCGAGAGGTGAGCACCCAAACACAGAACAATCGTGATGGGAAAACGATGCCTCAAGTGGGAGGGAATTCCCAATGTGTGACTGCCGAGTGTGCCTCCCACAGGCAATCCACTGTCTATAGAAAGGGGAAAGGTTTTCAGTATCTATTTGTGGAGATCTGACGTGTGCAATCCTAAGGCAAATCTCAGCTCAAGTTTCTGATGACCGGGGCTTTTATTCAGAGAAGGAGGTGCTGTGTTACCCCACTTCTATAGGGAAATGTCTCCACAAGGAAACTTCCTTACCCAGAGAGACCAGGTTACTGTAGTTTTCCAGCATCACATCCTGGTACAGGTGTCTCTGAGGAGGACGCAGCTTTCTCCACTCATCCCGCGTAAAGAGGACCGCCACGTCCTTGAACGTCACCGACATCTGTAAAGACAAGCCACCCCAGCTCACCCTGATGACCCACACAGAGTGAGGAAGGAGGCTGTGGGACAGTAGATGGGCCACCAGGAAATGCTTAGTCAGAGATTTCCACAACCCACTCCTCAAGTTCCATTAATTTGCCAGAGTGGCTCCCAGAACTCAGAAAAGCAAGTTACTTACAAGATTACCAGTTTATTATAAAAGGACATAACTTGGAACAGTCCATGAGGAGATGCACAGGGCAAGCTTTGGGGAACGGGGTGCGGAGCCTCCCCACCCTCTGGCTGTGCCACTCTCCTCGACTCTCCACGTGTTCATTCACCAACCAGGAAGCCCTTAGAACACTGTCCTTTTGGGTTTGTATGGAGGCTTCATTACAAAGGCATGATGGATTAAATCACTGGCCATTACATGTACATGACTGATTAACTCATTACACAGGCGGGACTGAGTCAACCTCCAGCCCAAGACAGGCATCGGGTAGAAGGCTGAAAGTGCCAACCTCTAGTCGGGGTTGGTTTCTCTGGAACCAGCCCCACCTTAGGGCTCTCCTAAAGTCAGCTCATTAATATAAACTCCGGTGTGATTGAAAAGGGCTGGTTATGAATAACACAACACAGCCATTTCATCTTTATTGCTTTGAAGTTATTGCAGGTAAAAAACGCACATATTACTAATCAGTTAAGGAATTATAAGTGCTTTGGAAGCTATGTGCCAGGAACAGAGACGAAGACCAAACATATATTTCGTTTTATAAATCATAAAATCACAGCTGCTCAGTGCTAGACACGGAATTCCAACACAGGTGGATGTCCAAGGTGCCATTCTTCACCTCTCCACCAAACTCCCTGTCATGCCTACCTCATAGGTCAAGAAAGAAATGAGATAATCCATATAATGGAGATGGACAGTAGTGATTGTCACCCAACATGAATGTACTTAATGCTACTGCATTATACATTCAAAAAGGGTTAAAGTGGTAAATTCTGTCACAACAAAAAGTTAAAATGATAAAATAAATACATACATATGTACATAAATAAAGATGCATAAAATATTATTCTGAGGTAATGCATACCAAAGGGGTGATGGTGATTATTTCCAGATGTTGGGGTAAGAGTGAGCTTTTTTTTTTTGTTAATCCTCATCCAAGGATACTTTCCCATTTATCTTTCAGACAGAGTGGAAGAGGGAAGGACAGAGAGAAACGTCGATGTGAGAGAAACACATCCACTAGTTGCCTCCTGCACACATCCCAACCAGGGCGCAGGCCAGGGAGGAGTTTGCAACCAAGGTACACGCTCCTGACCAGAATCGAACGCGGAACCCTTTGGTCCGCAGGCTCTATCCACTGGGCCAAACTGGCTGGGGCGGGGTAAGAGTGATTTTAACTTCTTCATATATGCATTTTTTTATTCTCTGAATTTTTTTTAATTAAATCTTTATTGTTCAGATAATTACATTTGTTCCTCTTTTTTTCCCCCCATAACTCCCCTCCTCCCAGTTCCCACCCCACCCTCCACCCTCACTCCCCACCCACTGTCCTCATCCATAGGTGCACGATTTTTGTCCAGTCTCTTCCCGCATCTCCCACACCCCTTTCCCCCCCAAGAATAGTCAGTCCATTCCCTTTCTATGTCCCTGATTCTATTTTGATCACCACATTATTCACTTGATTCTTAGATTCACTTGTTGATAGATGCATGTTTGTTGTTCATAATTTGTATCTTTACCTTTTTCTTCTTCTTCCTCTTCTTAAAGGATACCTTTCAGCATTTCATATAATACTGGTTTGGTGGTGATGAACTCCTTTAGCTTTTCCTTATCTGTGAAGCTCTTTATCTGACCTTCAGTTCTGAATGATAGCTTTGCTGGATAAAGTAATCTTGGTTGTAGGTTCTTGGTATTCATCACTTTGAATATTTCTTGCCATTCCCTTCTGGTCTGCAAAGTTTCTGTTGAGAAATCAGCTGACAGTCGTATGGGTATTCCCTTGTAGGTAACTGACTTTCTTTCTCTGGATGCTTTTAGGATTTTCTCTTTGTCTTTTGCTCTTGGCATTTTAATTATGATGTGTCTTGGTGTGGTCCTCTTTGGATTCCTTTTGTTTGGGGTTCTCTGCGCTTCCTGGACCTGTAAGTCTATTTCTTTCACCAGGTGGAGGAAGTTTTCTGTCATTATTTCTTCAAATAGGTTTTCAATATCTTGGTCTCTCTCATCTTCTGGCACCCCTATAATTCTGATGTTGGTACGCTTGAAGCTGTCCCAGAGGCTCCTTACACTATCTTCGTATTTTCGGATTCTTTTTTCATTTTGCTTTTCCAGTTGGGTGTTTTTTGCTTCTTCGCATTTCAAATCTTTGACTTGATTCTTGCGCTCCTCTGGTCTGCTGCTGGGAGTCTGTATAGTATTCTTTATTTCAGTCCATGTATGCTTAATTTCTAGTTGGTTCTTTATCATAACATTGAGGGTCTCATTAGATTTCTTGTAGATCTCATTAAGTTTATCGGCAGCTTCTAGACAGTTCTTGAGAGACCTTAAAAGTGTGGTTCTGAACTCTATATCTTCCATTGACAATTTTGTCCTGTTTCTTTGTCTCCGCATTTTTTTTTATGCTTTCTTGGTGCACCCCCTAGTGGTCTTTGTGCGGCGTCTTGTTGTAGTTAAGCCTTGATTGTTGTAGTTAATACTGGGGGGATTTGACCTCCAGGCCAACTGGCTATGAGAGTCAGCTGTGTCTGCAGTGGGAAAACTTCTGTCCTCTGGGGAGGTGCTAATCTAGCCTTTGCCTGAGGCTATCTGGCAAATGGCTCTGTGCAGGGCTTGGGCGGGGTGGGTCGCACTGGATCAAACAGGGCGGGCGGGAGCGAGCAGTTATGGCTGCTCTCAGTTCCGTCCCTAGGTGCTCTGCCTCACAGAGTCCCAACAACCGCTGCAAACCTCAGAGAGAAAGCTGCCTTCGAATTCCGACCGAAGCCAGACAGTCCCGCTTCTCCCGTTTGAGTCTGGGTCCCTAGAGACTCGCCCGGATCTGGAGCTCAGAGTCTGAAACTCCCTCCCGATTGAAAACAACAACCGCGCCCTCCGCCGCCAGCCCGCTCTGCGCGCGCACTCCGCACCTGAGTATTTCACTTCAACACTGTGCCTCCTCTGAGTCTGGGTATGATATTCTCTTTCCTCCTAGTTGTAGAATTTCCATTCAGCCAGCCTTCCTGTGGTTCTGGATGATGTTCGTTCCATCTTTTAGGTGTACCCTTGAATTGGTTGTTCGAGGCAGCAATCTCCAGCGTTAACCTATGCCGCCATCTTGGTTTCTCTATTCTCTGAATTTTTAGCATGAGAGTGCAACACATGTATAAGATAACTTATTGGCATATGGGGAAATACAAAACAATCTTGCCCTAAAAAGAATTTAAAACCCAACTGGTAGTGAAGAAAATGATGAAATGATGTGAACAATGAAAGAAAAAGTGTAGCCGTACAGGACTGTATGCCATCTCCTAGTTCAATCCTCATCTCAGAGGTGAGGAACCCAAAGTCCAGGGCAGTCAAGACCCCAGGTCACATAATGTGTCAGTGATAGAGGCAAGACAATAATTGAAGTTTCCTTTTAATCCAGTGCTTAGTCTATTCTCTCTCTGGTCATAAACGTCCCGTCAGTGAGATTTCCACACAGGCCCATGCAGTACTGCCGTGTGGGCAGCAGGCAAGGTTGGGGAGAATGCCATATGGGATGCACTCACACACAGGATGAAGATGATTCTGGCCAAGAGACCAACTTGGCTCTGTTGGAATGAAAGGGCAAAACCTTGGGAAAAAAGCAGCCCACATATGCAATGGGAGGCTCTAGCCACAGCCTCAGATCAACCACCACCAAACTGCGCGGGTCCAAAACAGAGCATCACGGTGCAGAAGAGCCTGATGATGCACGGCAGGATCTGCGCTGTGCTCGGAAGATCACCAGAGCAACGGCTGGACAGTAACAAGTGTGAACTTAAAGGCCACACCCACTTGGGTTTGAACCCAGGTTATTAATTTCTCTGAGCCCCCGTTGCCTCACATGTAAAATGAGGAAAATATGCCCAGCCTGTGTTGCTCAATGGTTGAGCACTGGCCCATGAATCAGGAGGTCACAGTGTGATACCTGATCAGGGCACATGCCTGAGTTGTGGGCTCAATCCCTAGTAGGGGGATGTGTAGGAGGCAGCCAATCAATGATTCTCTCTCATCACTGATGTTTCTCTCTCTCTCTCCCCCTCTCCCTTCCTCTCTGAAATCAATATAAATATTTTTTTAAAACATAATAATAAAATCGGGATAATAAGTGCTACACTGTTATGAGTGAAAACAAAGGTAAAGCCTTCAGGACATTCCCAGCAACATTGCCTGTTATTATTAGATGAAGGTGAATAAAGAAAGGACAAGTATTTATGGGTCCTATGAACATTATGTAACACTAGAGGCCAGTGCACAAATCCGTGCACCAGGCCGCTAGTACGGATACCAGATCTTTAGTTAACCTCTTCCTGCCCTCCCTCCTCCCCCCTTCCCTCTGAGAGTCATCAGTCTGTTCCATGTTTCCATGCCTGTGGTTTCCTCTCCTGCATTGAGCATCTGCCTCCTGGTGGTCAGTGCATGTCATAGCTACCGGACGGTCAGACGGTCGGCCAGTAGCTTAAGCTTTTATATATATACTAGAGGCCCAGTGCACAAAAATTTGTGCACTCAGGTGGGTCCCTCAGCCCGGTCTGTGCCCTCTCACAATCTGGGACCTCTTGGGGGATGTCCACCTGCTGGCTTAGGCCCGCTCCCCGGGGGATCGGGCCTAAGCTGGCAGTCAGACATCCCTCTGGCAGCCCAGGAGCCCTCAGGGGATGTCCACTTGCCAGCGGGGAGCAGGCCTAAGCTGCAGTCGGACATCCTTAGTGCGGCTGAGGAGGCGGGAGAGGCTTCCGCCACCACCGCTGTGCTGGCAGCCGTCAGCCTGGCTTGTGGCTGAGAAT